AAAAAAAATAAGGAAAACCAGATCGTAAAAGAAAGGAAGACGAAATACCAGATTGCAGAAATTGAATAAAAACCCTAACAAAATACCAGATTGCAGAAACTGAATGAAAACCCTCTCGAAATACCAGTTAGATCCGCGAAAGATGTGTTCAAGATTATGTCAGATCCCATGAAACTTAGCTCTAATACCATGTTAAACAATCCAAAGAAATAAAGAAAAAGAAGAGGAGGCTAGAGTTTCAATGATTCTGCATAATACAATTGAATACTAAAAATATAATTTAACCTAAATACAAAGAGACTATATATAGGCTAAACAAAGAAAATTGAAAAGATTATTCTACTCTTAATAAACAATAAAATAAAATAACCATATATTTCTTAACATCTCCATCCTCCTTTTCTTAAAGTCAATGCTTGCTTCGACATTTTAGATTTCACCTGCATTAGAATTGTACTTGAACTTTGACGAGCACACATACAGTTTCTGAAAAGTTATCTTGCCCATTTTTTCCAATTCTCAACTTCTAGCTGCTTTATGCCATTCAGTTTTAGTAACTAATTTAGCTACACCGTACAAGTAGTGGATGGTTTAAACACAGGTGCTTGAATTAGTCTATATGTATGCCAGCACGTCATTATGAACTTCATAAACAAGTTCCTGAGAGTAATGCAAAGCAGAATGGTTAATAATATTAATGCTACAGTGAAAGTTGATTGCTTATTTTTCATGACATCTGTACGTTGTAACATGTTGAGGAGCACTTTGGTGTCCCTTTCAAATATACTTCCAAAATGATTAATGTTTACATTTGATACTATTCAAATGATTTTTGAGAAATGGAACTGAGGAACTCATTGAGCTAGCTCCTCAAATGGATTTCTAGAGTCAGCAGCCATGTGTATATTAGTGATATGGTTGCTTGACTTCTTCAGTCTATCCCACTCATGCCAAATGCTACATAAACCTGTTTAGCCACTTCCATTTGCAAGTTTAGATGCATGTTGTATTGTTGCTTACAGATATTTTTGCTTTGCTTTTTCATAGTTCGCAATCTAGTTAGACTTAACTACATTGACGGTAAGATGATCATTACATTGTGTTTTACAAGAGAGAATTTTATAACTTTTAAAGCAAGCCTCTTTCTGTTTGAGCAGATATTTCTGCTTGCTTTGATGTTTTACTGTTGCTTGAACCGTTGGCCTTAATTAGCCCTTGTTTGGCCCCCATTTTTTAAAACTTAATTTTCCCCAAAAACTCATTGTCAACAACACATTTTATGGACCTACTACTTTTATCAACTTTTCTACGGTCAACTTTTATCAAAATCTACTAAAAATCTAATTTTCAGCAAAACCAAACAGGGGCTTAATGTATTCTGTTTGGGTTAGGGAACTGAAATTTTTTTGTCCAACTGCATATAGAAGGCACTTTGGCTAGAAATTGCATCTTCTATATTTCTTTCTGTTTTACAAAGATTGCATGAACTGTTTAGAAGATCTGTTGCACTTTGTTAATTATTTCATTAACCCTGATATTTTCTGTTTATCATTGGTATAATCTCCATTTTTCTTCGGAATCCTTACGCATGTTGTTTGCAGGCTAAACCGTGCAAGAGTTTGTGGATAGCTGGTGTCAGCCAATCTGTTTCTAAAGAAGAACTGGAGAAGGAGTTCTCCAGATTTGGTAAAATCCAGGAGTTGAGGTTCCTCAGGGACCGAAGCACAGCGTATGTTAATTATATCCAATTGGAAGATGCTTCTCAAGCATTGAAAAGCATGAATGGGAAACAAATCGGCGGTGATCATATTCGTGTTGATTTTCTTAGGTCACATTCTTCTAGAAGAGTAAGTTGATACCTCTGCAGATAGCTTCTGCGAGTCTCTAGAATTCCGTAATGTCATTAACTAAATTTCATGATTACTTGCACGAGGAATGTGGTCCATTAAATTCTGTCTATAGGGATGTGTTGGGAGTCCTACTTGCACTCATTTCCTCCATGCTGGATCGATTTAAAACTTTGATCTTTTTGTGATTTTTACTTCAATTTCTCACTGCTGTCTTTATGCGTGCAGGAGTTCCTATTACCTAGTTCTTTTGCTTTTTCTCTCCTGATTTATTATTGTTAATTTCTGAATCTTACAGGAGCCGGACTTGGATGCAAGAGAAGGCCCATTCCCTAGCAGGAATTTGGGGCCTCCTGATTTGCAGTGGATGGCACAAGATTCCATGCAAAACTTCAATGAGCACAACCTTATTGGGTCCATGAGAGAACATGTAATCTGCTAACTTATGTGATATTAATTTTATTTTTAGAATTTTGATCTCTGTCATCGCACTTGAGATCTAATTATAATTAGTCAGAAGATGAGCAACGGAGATCCTCTCCTGCTACTAGTTTTTCAATGCTGCAATTATATATATTTATGGGTGATCCAATAGATCTTATGATTATTATTAAATAGAAAGGCCTGAAGTGCAGCTGTTTCTTATTTTAATTGAAAATACACATACAGATCTCATGTTAACATGTCCTGATATCCTTATTATCATCTTAACACTGCCAGTTTCACTATTCCTTCCGAAGTCCTTTTTTATTGTCTTTAACACCTTTTTCGTGTATTTGTTGCAGCAATTCATTACTCCAGGAGCTCGACAAGGAGACTTACAACTTACGAAAGTCCTATGGATATGTCACCCTCCTTCTGTTATTCTTGAAGAAGAAATGATTCACAATGCCATGATACTATTCGGTGAGATCGAGTGGATAAAGATACTCCCTGACAGGCATTGTGCCTTTGTTGCATTTAGAAGCATTGAAGAAGCTAGACGTGCGAAAGAGGGATTGGAAGGCAAGCTCTTTAATGATCCCAGGATTTCAATCGAGTATTCGAGAAGTGAACCATTACCTGGAAAAAACTACATGAGTCATTATCCTGGAATGAAAGAGCATGTTCAGGACCTTCCATTTCCAACTGTTCAGATGGATGTTCTTAGTCACAACCTCCCAATCTTAGCCCATAACAATCCTAGACATCTAGTATCCCTCGGAATTCGTGGACCTGATATATATACGAGACCCTTGGGTCCTAACACTACCTTTGAGCCTACACTTTCACATCCAGAGTTTGTTGACATGGCGGATTTCCATAAATTGCAGAACCCTACTCCCCATGCTCTGGTTGGGGGACCAAATTTGAGAAGGTTGTCTCCAGCACCTGGGTTCGTCCCTTCTCCTTCAGCCATTTTAAAACCATCAAATAGATCTACTTCTGATTCATGGAACGTGTTTGATACTAGTCAGCTTCAAAGAGAATCGAAAAGATCAAGGGTTGATGTCCCTTTCCCTGCTTATGATACTTCGTTTCCTCTTACAAGAACAGAACAACGTGGATCGGATGATCTGTTGGGTAAACTAGGTCCTAGCGGAGCATCTGTTTCTTTAGGAAGGGTCACAACTAGTGGACTTGGACAGCGCCATACTGAGAGTGATTACATATGGCGTGGAATTATTACGAAGGGTGGATCACCTGTTTGTCATGCTCGCTGTGTTCCTATCGGAGAATGGGTTGGTTCTAAGATGTAAGTATGGTTTTGCATGACTTCATATATTCTTGATAAAGGTAGTGTTCATATAGGTAGTGTTCATATAGAAGAAATGATTGGTTTAAGATGTATACTTCTTGATTTAGCTTCATTTTTCTTTCAAAAGATCTTTTGGGTTTCACAAGCCTTCTTGGTTAGTAAGCACTTCGATAGTCTCATATCTTGCCAAAAGTTATCTTGGTTAGTAAGCACTTCGATAGTCTTACCAACCATATATTCACAACTACTACTCATTATTATCCTCACATTTCATTGGATTCACTATTATTCCTTTTACTATTCTTCTTTATAAACCATTTATAAATTTGTCACCAAATGGAGGCTAATTTTTTTATACCTTAAAAATAGGTAAGGATTTTTACCGTGTGGTCAAGCCTCCTATGATGTAGTTAGTTGAATTGATCCCTTTCTTTAGGTTTTGGAGAAGCAACTATTGCTTTACAAACATCATTCTTTAGGTTAACATTTCATAATTGATGCTACTTTATGCATAGTTTAAATTAAGAGTAAACAAATACAGATAGTTTTAAGTTTTTATTTACAACTGCTGCGTCTAAAAATCTGATTCCATCCCTCACACTCAGTTTTCCCAGTTTTAGATTCTGTTTTATTAGACTGACATGCTATTGACCCTTGTCATCCATCTAAAAATACTGCCCTTTGAAGTTTGTTGTTTCCTTAAGCAATCATAATATTATCTGATATGAAATTTTGGTGCGACCAGTATATTGTTTAATGATGATGGGAAAAAAAAATTGAGAGGGCTATTTCTTCAAAATGCACGTCTTGAATCAGACCTAACTGAGTCTATGACCTAGGAACTCTGAATTTTTAGTATTAAATTAATACTTAGTTTTTTGGTTATATTGGAATTCTTAAAATTTTATTTACTATATTAATATACTAATAAGTTGTTATTTTGAAGATATATGTATACTGTTCTTTTCATTCTTTGGAAATGCTTATACACTTTTGAACAATTATATTTATTTAGTATTTATACAAATTAAAACAAATTCTCTGTGGATTTGGTAAAGTATTGAATTGAACGTTTTATGTTAGATTCTCTGTTTAATGTAGTTTCTTTTTTTCCCTTGGTTTTGCAGTCCTGAAGTGATTAATTGCTCAGCAAGAACTGGATTGGATATGCTAGGCAAACACTATGATGATGCCATTGGATTTAACATAGTGTTCTTCTTGCCCGACAGTGAAGAAGATTTTGCATCGTATACAGAGTTTCTGAGATATCTGGGCTCCAAAGACAGGGCAGGTGTCGCAAAATTTGATGACGGCACCACGTTGTTTTTAGTGCCTCCATCTGATTTCCTTACCAAAGTTCTTAAAGTTGCTGGCCCCAAACGTCTTTATGGAGTAGTTTTAAAATTTCCTCGAGTTGAATCTGGTATATCGTCCATGAACTCCCAGGCAGTTCAGCCTCCATATGTGGATTCAGAACAAGCAACTTCCTTGCACACTGGATATGCTGCGACACACCAGGAGAAAAGGGACGTGGAGAAGGATTATCCCAGGGGTTTTCACAAAGATTCGGATGTTCCTCCAAATACGTCTGTTTCGTTGACAAGTAATTCTTTTCCTGCACCATCTGTTCCACCAATTAATACTGCAGCAGCATCCACAGCTGGAGTAGCTTTGACTCCTGAACTGATTGCTACCCTTGCATCTTTCCTACCTGCCAACAATAGTTCTTATTCAGAAATTGCATCAATACCTGTAACATCCTCTAAGCAAGGGGGTTCTACATCAAAAGATGCTGCTGTTCATGATACTGGGATGGCACATTGGACACATGAACATCAGTCCTTACAGCAAACTGGTCATCTTGTGCAACAGCTGGGTAGCCAAGTCACCAGCCATTCACAGCACATGCCTCAAGGGCAGTCTCTTTCTACACTATCAAATGTGCAAAACCCTTTTCATCAAGGGGCCACAGATTATAGACAAATGCATGGTGGCAATATGAATTTTCCACCTCAAGGAACTGTTTCATCTAGACAAATGGCCTCTGTACTTCCTTCTCAAAGTGGATCAGTTGTGGGGGATCTGGAGGTTGATCTACAGTATCAACCTGGAAGTTCTCACGATGCCTTGATGGGCCGCAGGGTAGATCATGGAACCGATGCTCTAAGGTTGTATAATACTTCGGCAGTTCAGCAACCCTTGTATCCCATTCCATTATCCAATCAGGTTCGGGACACCGGTATTTCCCAGCCCCATGTGGTGCCACAGGCTTCCCAAGTCGAGTACACAAATCAAGGTCAGCAGCTTCAGTCTACTCCATATGGGGTGACTCAGGAAAGTGCTGAATCTGAGGCAGATAAAAATGAGCGCTACAAGACAACTTTGCTCTTTGCAGCCAATCTCCTTGCTCGGATACATCAGCAACCAGGTAATCAAGCTGGTCCTGGTGCAGGGAGTCAATGAAAATATATTCATCATCAGGTAACTGCACTTTCTTAGATTAGTTTGCTATTCTGCTAAATTATGGCAATGTTTCTGATATATTACTTGCTTAAATTGCACACGTGCCATGATCTTTATATGTTATTTCCTCTTCCTGTCCTATGCTCATTATTTGGGTGTTCGATAGATTTAATAGAATAGAGGGTCTAGAGTGGTGAGTTAAGAATACTTTTGATGTTACAAGGTCATGAAAGTTTTCTGAAATTTTTTAACATTCTGTCGTAGTCGTCTAAAACAGGGTATGAGGAGTGTGTTGGTTGATTCATAGCAAAAGAGCAATATCTTAATTTCTGAATCAGTGGATGTTATGATTATGTATCAAACGACAGTTTACTTCATTAGGTGGTTTGAAGTGAGTCAGAAAGTTCTTTTGGAATTCAAAGAGTCCCAGGTTCTGGGGGTTGTAATGCCTGCATTTGTGTTGTGGGGATGGCCGCTAGTGATTGAATGTTGAGGTATTGTTCTTTGGAGTTTTGAATAGTGAAGTGATTAGTTGAATATGCTACACCTTCTATAGGTCTTACAAATTTACTAGTTCAATCTAAGTGAAGATAGGATGTACTTAAACTGGATGGAATGGTCAAAGGGCTTAGAAATCATGTCCTTGGTTTCCATAATTCATTAAGCAAACAACGTTACGAATCAGGTCCTCCCAGCATTCCTGCTTTTGTGGGTCTAACACTTTTAGCTGGCCATTGATTAAAACTACTAGTCATACTTAAATGATCAGGTGTCAATTAAAGGGGTCTGGAAAAGTGTCTTAAATTATCCATGAGTTGAACTTGCACAATTTGCTGTATTCTAAGTGCTAACCATGGCATCACGAGGATGTACGTGAGAAGTTATGCAATCATCCTGTCTATTCTCTAGTGTACTTACTGTGATTAACTTTCGTGGAGGCAGTGGTTATCATAAATGGATAATGTGTTGCACGCACATGATATTCTATTTGTAGATCACATGCATCATTCAACAATATTTATACGATATAGATCAAGTTTATTACACCAGCCTCCTCAGAACATTCTGTATGAATGTTCATGTGCTGAGGCTAAGATTTGTTAAGAATCCATTGAGCTCTGTAAATCTATATTATTTTTGACTTAATTTCCCACGCCATTCGGGATTGTGGTTACGAGTAATGCTATTTAGCACCGATGGTGTTTAACATTGGTCTAGGTGGCATTACTTGTATCATTAAATTATAGATTCAATTAAATACAAGAATTTATAACTCATTTATTATGACCTATCACATACTTACACCTAGACTTGTGTTCTAGCACCACTGGCACTATATAGCATTATTTTTGTGGTAACACACGCACATATGATGCTACTTTAGTTGTCAGGTAACTATCTGTTGATAAACTTATATGCATGTTCAGATTTTTAAGTATCTGTAACTTGATAAACAGAAAGCAATGAAGATAGCAATGCTATGGAAGGTATGCTTTTCAAAATTGAACTACATAGAAACTACCATATACCATTTTTGTTATTGGAGTTGTACATTGTTTGCTTTCTTTTTCTAAATTTGTCATCTTAGGGTTGTATCACATGTCGATAACTTTCATTGAGCACCACCGAGTCAAATCAAATTACACGGTAATTTCCTGTTAAAGAGTAACTCTCTGTATCAGGTGGTATCTTGAAGTCTCTCTACGCTTATCGAAAATTTATATTCCATGAGTGCACGTGCCTGGTGCACGTTATCCTTGGGAATATATGTTTTGAGCCCATATGACAATTGCCATCTCATTTGTCTCGTTAATATGCTGGGAAGACCGTTAGGAATCATATACTAGTATTAGTTTATAAAACGTGGAATGGAATTATCCACTGTTTAGCGGCTTCTGTTAGCTAGATCATGATTACCGAATTAGGCGTAACTTCATGGATCTAGTTATTTTAGGCTGCCACAGTGTTTTGAGGACTGAAAGTCGGTGATAAGCGCTGGGGTGGTTGTTCCATAGGACTGCTCTAAAAGGGTGAATTATGGGGTATGGGCATTTGTAGAAATTTTTTTTTTGAGTGTTCTCAGTTTTCATGTGCTGATGTTTCAATTTGCTTATTTGACTATATAGCTCATTTTCATATTTGAGATAATTTATCTACGTTTCTTAAATTTTTTTTCATGAACTTACTAGTGCTATTAATCACTTCTAACATTGAAGTATACTTTGTTACTTCCCTTCTGCTAATATGAAAGCTTGACGTCTTCTTATTCAGTAAGCTCCTTCATTTCTGTGGGCATTATCTTGCAGCTTGTTTAAGGTTATTAGTTAATTCTTAGGTGAACTTTTATGAGCCTATTCAGTTTGTAACTTAATTTGTAAATGTGCTTTACATACATTTTCCTCCACCTAAAGGCCGAAAATTTGCTCAAATAGATTTAAATTCTCTCCGTGACCAGTCCAAATGTAGTGAAGTTATAACCAAGTAAAAACGTAATAAAATGTATAAAAACTTGAAAACCGAGATACTTAACAATAGGGGAATTCAGGTGTATTCATCGATGGTCTGGGAAGTTAGTGATGAGCTAACTAGGCGAATAAAGTGGAGGTTGGGTTGATAGTAGTCAACAAAGCACTCTTCAAATTTGATCTTTTGATTTCCCGCAAGTGAACGAGATCGTGAACAAGTAATAAAATGATGAATAAAGTGTTGAATCCACGAGGACTACGTGTTTGATCGAGTTAAAATTAATTGCAACTTTAATTGAATAGCAAACATATTTTGTGATTTGTTTTATGTTAATTCCTAAACTATCAATTAAACTAATGAAAGTTAGTAAATGTGATTTTAAAATATGTGAGATGCATTTTTAAGATGTTGAATCCCCGTTGTTATTCCATTTTTAGTATAACAATTAAAGTGACAATTTGAAATCATTTATGTTGGTCAATCAATGCTCCTAATTTAATTGAAAGTTTCTCTCGATAGCGATTAAATATATTCTTCTCATGTGACATTTCTATCTCTCGATAAAAGATGTAAACATGATAAATGTATTAACAAACACTGTAACACCTATTGAAACCATATAAAGTATAAAGATATATCTTTATCATCTATCGAACCTTATACTGTTTATTATCATGTGCATCAACCCTATTGTCTCTCTCGATAACAATAAAATTCACTAACAATTCAATTGGTGATCAAACAATTGAAAATAACGATAAAACAATAATAAACATCCACAAATCAAATTAAAGTCAAAATAATTTATTAAAAACTAAATATATCATAACAAGAGTTCATCTCATCCTAGCAATGTAT